TTAAAACAACACATTCCTGGGAACTGTTCACATCCCATATGTTCTTTTAACAGTAGATAGTCTATAATCGCAAGATTTTGGAGCGCTACAACTTAAGGCACATGTTTTCATTCTAAGTTACACAAAGAGCTTGTAATTATGGAGCACTGTTTTTTGTATTTAAAGATTTTTTTTCTTTATAGACATTTAATCAAAATATTACTTCTATTGAAATATTAATTTGTACCATGTTGTGTTTTCTAAATAATAGGAAATGTTAGTTCAGCTCTATTTATTTTTGAACAGAATGTAAGTTATTGGAGACCAAATCAATGATCCGTTCATAATCTAATCATCTGGTATCAATAGGCCCCATCCTGTACTAGGTAAAATGGGATATCCAAAAATCAGCTTGTAATAGGGAAACAAGGTGTGCACACAGTGTTTGCCATGCCAGTGTTAGCAAAACCCATAAAGTTCTAGTTAGGAATGGAGTAGTCTTGGTTAACAAGACAGGTTAAAATTAATTTTTCCTTTTTTCCCCAGCAACTTAGAGTAAAAAGCAGGCTAATCTTGAAAAGATAGAAATGTACACAAAACTAAGTAATATTAAGGGTAAGAGGACAGATCTAATCATAAGTAACATCTATTGAGGGTTATCCTATATTTTGATCCTTATAAGATTCTTAAGAGAGAGTTCATCTTATTTTCATTTTATATTTGAACGAATTTGAAGTTTAAAGTGGTTAAGTAACCTGTGCAAGGTAACACAGCTGGCTAGTTGGTAGAACTATTCAAATCCAAGCAACCTGAATCCAGGGCCTTCATCCCTAACCATTAACGAGTACATGCACAGTATCTACAATATCTACAAATGTATGTTCGTAAATATACAAAGCTTCAGGTTGGTGAAAATTCAGTGAAAAAGGCCAAATTGAAATATCTACAGGAGCAAAAAGGGGCAGGAAGACTTGCTTTTTATACTAGGATTGACAGATTGAAAGGTCTGAGAAGACTGTATGTATATGGATCTATCTACAACACTCATCTTTCATATAACATGAAATAATAGTAGTTATCTGATAGCCTTGTTGTAAGGCTTAAATGAGTTAAAATATATAAAGTATTTAGAACCGTGCATGATAGTTGGTAAATACTATGTAAGCTTTGATTATTGTGATTTTTCTTTGAAACCATATATTACAGAATATATTTTACAATATGATCTAAATTAGTAGCTCTCAAACTTAAGTGTGCATCAGAGGTTTCTGAAAGGCTTGTAAAAAACAGATTGCTGGGACCCACCCAAGAGCTTCTGATTTAATAGGTCTGGAGTGGAGTCTGAGAATTTGCATTTCTAACAAGTGCTCAGATGAGAACCACTGATCTAAAGAGTTGCTTAATGTATCTGATTGAGGCATAGAATTATGTACCATATTGGGGTGAAGCAAGTAGAGATTTGAGGTCCCTCTGCTTTCCTGGTAACTATATACACACACACACACACACGTAATATACAGCACATTATGTCTCGAAACTATATGTATTATATATCTATCTACATATATAATATATATAACATTAATATATAATTAATTTCATGGCCTAGGCTAATAGGAAAAGAAGTCCACTTTACAACAAAGAGAGATTAGGTAGCTTTGGGGAGACTGGGACAATTTAGAGTTGGAGGTGGAAACTGGCCCAGAGAGGTGAAGGGACTAGCCCAGTTACTCATCTGGAAGAATGTCATTGCCAGGGTCAGACCTCAGTACTCCAACTCCCAACCAAGGGTTCTTTTGACTGGATGTACTGCTTATTGGTAACCTGCTTGAAAGAAATAAATCACAGCCCCAGCAGAAGTGGACTCCAGGTTGCATGTCCCAGAGTGGTGCTGTGTGCTCACACTCGGGACTCAGTGGGGAAGTAGGGAAGGTCTTCCGCATTTCCTATTATACATATTCCGTACATATTACTAGGGAGAATTTTACGCTGCATCTAGTGATCAGCCTAGTAATCAGGTTAACAGGTAGACTCTCCTTTCCTGGAAAGCCCTCTACTTTGTGTGTCCAGAATAACCCTTTTAAACAAATGGGGGTGCTGATCAGCATGGATATGACCATTCTCAGGTCTTCTGTTCCACTTGACAATTCAGTGACAACACATTGATATTGTAATGTTGTATTCTAGGTTGACCAGACAGCTCCCTCTGGACCCCACTTTAAAGTGAAAAGCCTTCTGGCTTTTCAGTCAATACACTATTCGACACTATTCCAAACCACACAGGGAGCAGCCTTGGGAAATAGAATAATCTCAAGGGAAAGTGTGAAATTAAGGTGAGAATTCTCTCCAGATTCTGGTCTCCTTCTTAAAGATGTTTCAGGTATGAAGAAATAGAGGAAACTAAAGAGAAACTTAATTGTTTCTCTGGTCAACATGAAGTATACTGTGGAGAAGAACAGCTGTTTCTAAGCAGGAGTGGCTGCTAGTGTTTGAATTGTTTGGAATCTGTAAAAATGGGCCCTGGATTTAAAGGGGGTATGTGTAGTAAGAATCAACCTTATCCAAAGTGAGGTCTGTACCATGAGGCAATCTTCAACCCCCTGAAGTGTCCTGTTTGGTAGGAGTGTCTTTGCTCTGGCTTTAGCCACCCGTCTGACAATGTGATTTATGATAGGGGCTTTGAATCATGCTGTATCAGTCCCAATCTCTAGAAGAACTGGAGACTGAAAATATTAGTCTGACCTCTGGAAAGGGCTGAAGAAGAAAGTTCACCCACTGGCCAGTGTGTGATCAAGCTCCAGTAAAATCTCTGCACACCAAAGTCTCCTGAAAGCTTCGCTCGTTGGCAATACTCCATGCACATTGTCACACATCGTGGCTAAGAGGAGGTAATGCCATCCATGATTGCATGGACAAAGGATGATTGGAAGCTCCATTGTACCCCTCCTAGACTCTGCCCTATGCCTCTCTTCCCTTGGCTGACTTTAATTTATGTCCCTTTGCTATAATAACACTGTAATGGTAACCACAGAGCTCTCCTGAGGTCTGTGAGTCACTCTAGGAAGTCAACTAAGGTGGGGGATCAGGGCCTCCAAATTTGTAGACAGCTGCTGGTCTAAAGATAGGGTGGTTGTGGGGACTCCTAAACTGTGGGTGGAGTGAGGGCAGTCTTGTGGGGACGGTTCCCTCAGTCTTTGCAGTTTGGCTAAACTCTTCCTAGGGTGATGGTGAAAGAAGATAATAAAAGGTAAGGTAAAATTTGGCCATGATTCATAATGGGGAAGTCTATGAAACTGGTGACTTTAGCGGTTTGTATTTTGGAAAAGCTGAATTTGAAGAAGTATCTCCCAGATAGCAGGTAAGAGACCAAAATGCTGGCAGAAAGAAAAATTAAACCCGTGGCAGATTTGAGTGAGAGTCCTAATGGAGTGACCTTAGGCAAATGACTTCACCCTTGGTCACATGGAGCTAAAAGAGTTAAAAGTGGTGATATATGTGGAAATGTTTTAAAATTAAGTTAATTTGGAAAAACAACAAAATGCTTTTACCATTTCAGAGAACTCTAAGTGTAAACTGAATTACACTGGAAAAGTTCAGGCTTTCTGGATATTTTCCCCTTAGATTAGAAAAAGTTACTTCCCTGAGTTTTTCAATCTCTCACTTTTATGTTCAAAACTTGAACTTGGTTTGAAGTCCAGTTTATCTTTAGTATATTTTCCTGTGTGTGTTCCCAAGCAAGGGACTTTTATTTTATTGAGATATCACTGACATATAACATTTTATTAGTTTCAGGCATACAACATAATGATTCGTTATTTGTATATATTGCAAAATGATCACAAGTCTAGTAAACATCCATCACCAGTTATAATTTTCTGCGTGTGTGATAAGAATTTTTAAGATCTCTTAGCAACTTTCAATTATCCAAAACAGTATTATTAACTGTAGTCACCATGTGCTGTACATTACACCCCAGGACTTATTTGCAAGCGACTTGAAGATCCAAATAATTTGGGTGCTTAAGAAAAGCAGTTCATATATTTCTTATTACCTCCTCAATATGTCTGATCTGTATTTCCCCCACACCACCAAGTCGTTGGTTCAAAATTTTCAGAACGTACTATTTTTAAATGGTGCCCCAGTATAAGATGGATTTTTCCTAAGCAAAGGTTCCCGGGTGAGGTGTACTGTCTTGGAGTTTTACCGGGGGCAGAATGGTCGTGCCCCTAGAGCGCAGTCTCCAGGACAAGGCATCAGAGATGTGTGAGGCTCGTGGATGAGGTCTGGTTGCCACATTTGGGAGGCGAGAGGCTGTGCGGCTCTCGAGTTGGACGCGGTCTGGAGGCGGCGCTCCAAATGGCTGGGCACAAGCAGATGGATGCTGCCGGGCCTTATTCAGAAGCGTCTTATCTGGGCAGAGGCCCCTTTCCCACCTGGATTAAGATGGATCCGATGGGGTCGTGGTTTTCAGCCTCCCGTGCCATGGCCAGGGCCAGGGAGGGCTACCTCCCGTTGAGGGGAGCGCGGCAGCTGCGCAAACCTACTAGCGCGGCCGTCCCCATGGCAACACCACGCGCAGCCAGGCCTGTTCTACGCCGGCAGCGGAAGAGGGGGCGAGGGAGGAGTCAGGGTAGCAGTTCCTTCCGAGAACGCGCCCGTCCTGGCGTGTTTCCCCCGCGCGCTGGTGGCTGTGGTGCAGCCCAAGGCGGAAGCGGCTCCCGACCCACCTGGCTCGCCAGCGCGCAGCTATGGCCGCGGGCGTCCCCTGTGCTCTTGTCACTAGCTGCTCGTCCACCTTCTCCGCAGACCGGCTGGTGCAACGTAAGTGGCGAGGCTCCTGGGCCGACCTCCAAGCCTCCTCGTCTCGTCGGCGGCAGCCTCAGGACCACAGCCTCCCTCTGGGCCTTTGTCCCGCCGCGGGGCCCGGGCTCTTCCTCCACTTGGCGGGGGGCCCTGAGGCTCCTCGGGTGCCCCTCAGACAGGGTCGAGGTGCCTAGTTCCCGCAGGGGTCTCCCCCTGAGCTCTTACATTCGTAGCTTTTCTGCTTGCCCGGCTCACTATTGCATTTCTTAGAGCTTTTTCTGTAAAGTGGGACTGACTGTGCCCCGCCCAGCACGCAGGTTGTTGCGGGAATCTATTGCAAAGAACTCAAGGGCTCCCTGGAAATTTTACGGAGTTTCGTCGGGTGTAAGGTGCAGGAACTGTGATTTTTGTTGCTATTCCTTCTCCTGAAGTAGAGAGTATGTTTCCTCTTGGCTGCCCCTTGACGTAAATATTAAGACTTCTTAGCCTTGTTCCCTCCACTCTGTAGTGACACGTATAACCGCCTTGCCTTCCTCCTGAGGCATAGGCTCTCCACCAGTATTAGTTTTGGGTTATTACTGGGCCTAGTCCTTGCCTCTGCGGAGCTTCATAGTGGCAAACTAAGTAACTTAAAAAAAAATGGTAGGCGAGGAGACCAGTATCGTAGAGACAGCATAGGACTGGGTCAGAGGCTCATCTCTTCCAATAAAGGACTCTGAAGTTGATTATAACTCAAGACTCCTGTTTTACATGCGTGGCTTGGCCTCAGAGCAGTGACTCTCAGCTATACGATAGCACAATTAACCTCTGCCCTTCAGTTTTCTTAATTGTAAAATGATGATTTTCACACGATTGTTGTGCTCAGCTTGGCTGGCAGATAGGAAACATTCAGTAAATGTTAGATATTATTATTAAAGTGTCTTATCTCTCTAACCCGCAGTTTCCTAATCCTTAAAATGGTGCACATGAACCTATATTACAAGATTATTCTAAGGACAAGTGATAGGACATTTGGAAAGCACTTTATGAATTGTAAAGCATCATACAAGTATTTTTTTCCTGTGTCTGTCAAATGACAGAATTAGGCAGGATGTCCCTCTAGTATGAATATTCTATAGTTTATCATTTATTTATAACTAATCATAAGTTATCATTTGTGATCACTCCAAAAGTTTCTTGGGAGGGTAAAAGTTTAATTAGAGCACTTACTAAATGGTAACTAACTGCTCTAATTATTGCCATTTTCTCTTCTCTGAACACTACTCCTTTCCATTTATTTCCCTCATTTCTTCTTAAAAAATTGTTTCATAAAAGTATAGTGCATACTCATTAAGTAAGATTTAGCATATGGAGACAAGAAAATGTCAGTCATGGTCTCATGACACAAACACAATTACAGTTAACATTTCTGTACATTTCTTTCCAGTCTTTCTTTCAACACACAGGTTTTAAAAAAATTGTGGTTACATTTCACATGTAAGTTTGATCTTGATAGTTAATATATAACTTTTTACTTTTATATGTAAGAATTTAAAATATTTTTGTATTTTTAAGTATATATATATAAGTGAATATATATAAACATGTTTTTATTTTTCATGTATAGTATTTCATATATAATTTTTTTCTATTATTTTCCTTTAACATTACAGCATAAATTAGTTTCCTTCCTATAGTACATAGAGCAATATATCAGAATTTGTGAGCATACCAGAATTGGCTCCAGATTCATAAGATGGATTCTTAAGACTCTTGGTATATTTAACTTTCCAAAATACTTACAGGCATTTGGATTTCCATTATTGAAATAAGAGCCCTTTCAAAGCCAATCTCAGAAATACTTAAGTATTCTGAAGCTGTGGTACTCTAGCTTCTGTTTTAAGGATCAGAATTGGCAGACACGAAGGAGCTGAGTACCAATAGATGGCAAATAGTAACACTGTACTTCTATATAAAGTATATTAGCATCATTGTAGGTGAAATTCTGTAAAATTATTAACTTTATTTCTATATGTGAAATGCCTTTTAGATAATTCAAAATCCAACATTAGTGTTGGTTAAAGTTAGATGACCTTTCCTCTGTGAAAGAGAACAGTTAGTGGAGAGATTACTTGAGTAAGAAAAAGTCAACTATAAAAGAGGGTGCTAGCATTTCTTCCCAGGTTAATGAGTAGGGAAACAGGAGATAACAATAGAATGCAGTATTTGCTGAACAATTCAGTTCAAAAAAAAAACAAAAACAAAAACAGCTCATTGTTTTACTATAATTAAAAATTGAATTATCATGAACGGAGTCTAATTTTGGCATAAGGGATGGAGACTCCAGTAATGAGTGACTTTTGCCAAGTTTTTGCTGTTACCAGGCCATAGTATGATTTTGAATTGAATCTAATCTACCTTTGCTTCCGTGTCATTCCACGCATCTGGAAGAGGAACATTTAGGATTTCTCCAGTTTCTCTTTCCTTTGACATCTGATGAATTTTACTGCTATTAACCAACGGTGGGAAATATTTCATAGCCAAATAACAAAGTTTGCTATAAATATACATGAAAAAAAAAAGTAGGCCTCTGCTGTAGATAAAGTGTATGTGTGGATTTTTTGAGAAACTTTTTTTTATCATTTCATCACTCAGAGGCCTTGTTTACTATATTCTGGGGGGATGTCTGACATCATATAAAAGGGGCACTATAGACAGTGTGGACTTGTAAAGGGAAATGAAAGTTCAGGACACTTGAGAAGCTTGTGTAAGGCCGTATGCAAGGGGAGAGTGTCTGTCCTCCAGGGCCTCATTCCACCTCACTTATATTTATGTGAACATTTTACTTTTATTCTGCATATTAAGCATAGAGCTCGTCTTTGTGCCAGCCACTCAGCTAAACTGATTATTAGGTATTCTTCCTGCCCTCAAGAGGGAGGTCGTGAATGGATGTGCTCCTTGTGAAAATATTCAAATGCAGATAGATACCTAAGTTTAACATCTATTGTACTTTCCTAGAAAGAACTTCCGAAAGAAAAGTCCCTGGAGACTTGCCCGGTTTTTAAGTTAGTAATGCCAGCACAGCAACTATAAGCCATTCAGGCCCTACATCTGAACATTTGGAGCAAGATTCCCTTAGTGGGAATCTGGAGATCTTAGAATCATAGCAAGCATTTGTATGTATATCAGTACTCTTCCCATATTCTGTTGAATGATATACCGTATTTTGTTTTCACATTGTTTAGTTTGGTTCTTGTATCCCCGTGAAGTCATGAAGTCAGGTTCTCTTCATTTTATAAATGAAAAAACAGTGACTTGGAAGTGCTAGGTGACTCGTATGTGCTGAAGCATCTTTTCACATTCAGGATTTGTATGTGTGAATGGGCTGCTATAATTCCTTAGCAGTCAGAATCATTTAAATTTAAGATGGTGCATTGGTGTAAGAAATGATAAGAGAAGATCAACCCCTGAAAGAAGGTTTTAAATATGTTTGCATTTCTATTTAGGATGGTTGAAGTCCTAGTTCTGAGTAAAGGAAAAAATACCTTTGCCCAGAAGACCTATATCTGAAAGGAGCATTATGGATGTCTGATAGTCCTTAACAGTGCCTGGATTTTTATTTTCTCAATTGAGTGAACTCAAAATAGAGATATAGTATTTCTTAGTCCCTCATACTCTGTAGGATTAACATTCAAAATAAAAAGTTGTCCCAGATCATCTCTAATCCCTCATAGATGTAAGATTCTATGTTATCATGTTACTTATTTTCACGTTAGATTATATAATGCTTCTTACCTCTGGCGTTCTTATTCTGTGTGTGTATGTGTGTGCGTATATTTATTTTTTGAAAACTGAAGAATCTAGCCCCATTATAAGGTTGCTGTAGACACCCCACTTTTGGAGCAGAGTTTGGAGCAGAAATCAAACAGAAAATGCACTTACCAGTATAAACAATCCTCTGGTCCTCAGGTTTCTAAAACTGCAGACCAGATACTTCAATTATGTGGTGGGTAAACTAGACTTTGGGGTTACACAAGCAAAGCCAGCCATTATTTATGACACTGCTTATTTGGGAAACATTCATTCTGCATGAGTGGGAGTTTATTTCTAGGTCTGTCAGACCCCCTATGCTTACAAAGAGATTTGAAAGCAATTTACTAAGGAAAACATCCTTATTTCAAAAGTGGGGGCTAATGCTGCACAGTTTAGCTCACATCCTCTAGCAACAGAACAGGCATAAGCTCTTGGGGCTTCTAATTTGCATTTTTCTATAGCTTCTTGAGGTACTCTAAATGGATCCTTTTGTTTCACTCTGGGAATAAGTTACAATTTTTGCTTAAGCAAAATTGCTTGTTTTGTTATGGTCGGACAACTCAGCCTTTGATTGGATTATGTAATTCCAAGTGTTTGATGATCTGGACATGACATTGTGTTTACATTGGAGCCAGTGCACGCAGATACCACAAACACATCTCTAATAATTAGTCATCCAGAAAGCAAGACTGACGTACATTAAGGCAGAGAGGACAGTTTTGAAACTCTTAAAGGACCTTTATGATGTTTTAGGTTCAGTAACAAGTAACCTATTTTGGGTTTAATTTTCCACACAGACTGAAAGCTAGTATACTACACAGAGTGGGGGAAAAGTATTATTGTGCTTGGATCAAAGTCAGTACGTTCAGAAAATGTATGATCATTTGGTAATAAGCAGCACTGTTATGCTGACACAAGAAATTGCCATTCTATCTGAATTCTGCTGGGGTTGTTCAGTATTCTTGTGGGGGAAGTTTTTTTGTGAGTTGAGCAGTTACTACTTTCTTCCTAGCTAATTGACTTGAAGCAAATGAACTTTTCCTTCTACAAATATTTACATCGTGTCTTTACACGTGCCATCCTACCATCCTTGTTCTAAGTATCTAAAACCTGTGCCTCACCTCATGAGGAATCAGTAAAATGAGGGCATTATCTTCCAGCTTCCATGATCTTTTAGATTTATTGGTGTGTAATTTAAATAGCATAAAGTTCACCTGTTGTACATACGGGACATTTTTATCATCCTGGAAGGAAATATTACCCCTTTTTCTGGTTGCTCCCCTTACCCACCCCCAGTTCTAGGCAGCCACTATAATGTACTTTTTATCTTTATAGATTTGCCTTTTGTGGACATTTTATTCAAAAGGAATCATATAATATGTGGTCTCCTGGGTCTGGCTTCTTTTATTTGGCATGTTTTTGAGATTCATGCATGTTACAGCCTATACTTCATGTTCATACACCATATTTTGTTTATCCATTCATTCATTAGTTGGTAGACATTTCGGTTTTTTCACTTTTTGACTGTTATAAATAAAGCTATTATGGACATAATAAGAAATTATTATACTGTTAAGAAACTGCCGAACTATTTTCCAGAGTGGTCGCACTGTTTTACATTCCCATCAGCAATGCATGGGGTCTCCGGTTTCTCATCTTCAGTATTTGCTATTGTCTGTATTCTCGATGATAGCCATTCTAGTGCGTTTAAAGTAGTATCTCCTTGTGGTTTTGCTTTGTACTTCCCTAATAATTAACGGTGTTGAAAATCTTTTCATGTGCAAATGGTCCATTCATCCGTCTTCTTTGGTGAAGTGTCTGTTCATATCTTTTGCCCATTTTTAAATTGGATTTTTTGTTATCTTATTAATGAATTGTAAAAGTACTTTATCATATATGTAATGTGCAAATATTTTTTCTGTCCTGTGGCTTTCTTTTTGTTTTCTTGATGTTATCTTTTGAAATGCAAAAGTTTGAACTTTTGATTAAGTCCAGTTTATTGTCGTTATCTTTTTCCATGATCTTTCGACCATGTGTTACCCAATCATAATTTTAACTTTCTTGAAACCTTTTGGATAGTGGGACGTTGGATCTGTTAGTTTTATGATGTTTTTCAATGAACCAAACTTATTTTCAATATTTTAATATATATTGAAAGTAATAGAAGGGGCTACAGAGTAAATGTTTATCAGTCTTATTTTGGTTTGGAATATTCATCACAGACATGTTTATCTTCTTTCAGAGTAAGTTAGCATCTTCTGTGGATACTGTTGTCATCTTGAGCAGACATTGGCATTTTTTTTAAAGTTGTATTACTTTGCATCTTTATGGAAGTTGTATTACTCATTATTTATGAAAAATTATCATTTGAATATAAAAAGTACTTTCATCTTGTAATTTTCCTATTAAGGTTTATGTATGCTTTCTTCCAGAAAACCACCCTTCATAAGGTATTTTCAAGTAATTTGTGTAGTTAAAATAATTAAACAAGACACTTCAGAGAGAGTTTGTCAGATACAAATGAAAAGAAGACATTTGTGTCTGGGTTGGGGAGTTATGCTACCTGTCTCTAAAGCCTAGTTTCAGTTTCAGTTCAGTGAGGGAGAATAAAATGAAGTTTGCATTCCAGAACTTATATTCTAGAACTGAGCTGAGTCAGTTCCCCAAGTTCCTTTGCTTGTAGACGAGGTTTTCTCCGCCTGAGCCCTGCTGGTGCTTGGGGCTGCCCGTCTGCTGCAGGACGTTCAGTAGTTGGTCCTGGCCTTTGTCCACTACATGCTGGTAGCATCTCCCCACTTGTGACAACAAAAGATGTCCCCAGATGTTGACATGCATGTCCCCTGTGGGCCCAAATCACCTCCACATAAAGAGCTACTACTTTAGATGTGTATCTAGAACTGTGGTTTCAAATAAGTAATAGTAATGAAAGTCAAAGACGTCTCCTTCCCCTCATATGAATAGGAGTTACCATCAGCTGTGCCACTGGGATGGATAAAGTAGTCTTTGCATGCAGCCTGTAAAATCAGAGGCTGATGGTTCTCCTTGTCCTCCTTAAAACACTTCTCCAATTCTCTCTACCCTTTCTGCAAGCTTCTTTCTGTTCTTCTGTGCATCTTTGTCTCTCCCTGCATTGTGAGGTCTTCTAAGGGCAAGCAGAGGCCATGTATCCCCTTCTCTCCCAGTTATTTTAAGGTGAAGCGGTGGTGACCAGTTCCAGATGGCTGTTGGGAGAAAGTAAACTTGAAGAAAAGGAGAAGCACTGAGTTAGATTTCCTGTGCTTCAACTTTTAAAACTTTTCCACTGTGATATAAAAAGCCCCAAAGCATGTGGAAATATGAATTTAGAGCGTGACTGGAGATAGGAGTGTGTGAGGAAAAGTGTCGCAAGCAAACTGAAATCGCTGTACTCTTGCTAAGGCAGGTGGTATGCGACTTTGACCTGACCCAGTGATTCTTGCCCCAGCAGCTTAAGGCTGCTCCTGTGACTGCATCGACTGAAGCAAAGGCTGCTCATACTTGCCCCAGGAGGCTGCAGGGTGATTCCTCAGAGAGTCACAGATAAGAATTTCCCAGAGTTTGTCCCAACTCTAATGTTGCACAGTTTTAATCTTTAAATGCCACACAGGCTGCAAAGGCCCTTTGCATTGCAGCAGGATGATCCGCTCCTACTGATTGAGCAGTAATTTCTTCGCAACTATTGCAAAGTATTTGACCAAGCAGCACCCACCTTGTGTGACATCCTCATGCAGTTGTAGATATGAAATTGTGACTCGTTGCAACAATATAGAGCCATTATGATTTTTAAAGTTCTCTTTTTTTCTTTCCCTGCTGGTTAATGAAAACTCTGGCTTTCTTATTGTTTCCTGAATCACATTTTGCTCAGTTCTTTTCTTTCATAATGGCTACTTTCCCCTTCAACTGACGTCAAGACTCTGCTGCCTCCTGTAATTTCCCTACTTGCTTTCTCTTCTGTCTCTATCTGTGCCTTAACAATGGAAAAGAAAAAATTGGGAAGGCATATTTTGGGAAGGGAGGGGCCAGAGCAGCCTAGAGGAGGTGTTTATTTTGTAATTGTGATGTTTCTTTCTTTGCTTATGCATCTCTAACTTACCCTCTGGTCAAGAGTGTTGTCACCTATACAGAAAAATGAACTAGGAAGGAAGACGTGAACACGACCTGGGTCCTGCTCTGTGCCCAGTGGCGGCCTGTGCTTTCATAGACATTGTTTCATTTAACCTTTGAGAAGCCATTTGAGTATTTTTGTCCCCTGTTTGTAGGTGAGGAAATGAGACAGAGAGGTTTCTCTGTCATTCTCACAGAGGGCCACTGATCAAAGGCAGGTCGGTCTGACCCCAGGTCTGTGCTCTGTTGCCATCACAGAGGGAAGGGAGAGGAACAGGGGTCCCTGGAAGACGGGGTACCATGAAGGACACTCGGATCTGGGGTGGTAGGATATGAGACCTGGCTGTAAAGGCAGCTTCGGTTCTGTGAGAAAGACTAAAACCAACCGAGTTCTTAGAAGAGTGCTGATTTCTGGAAGGAGCGTCTTGATTTGAGGTGGCAGCTGTGCCTTCCCTCAGGGCATAGGAAATACGATTTAACCATTGGACAGCTTCTCTTCACAAAGGACATCATGATTAGTTAAGGGTACATTTATTCTACTTGTATTAAAAGTGTCCCAAAGATGGCGGCGTGCAAGGAGAGACAGAGGCTTCCTCCTAAAACTGGATACAATTAGAAAATTTAATAGGCGCAACTAATCCTGAGAGAGCAGCAGGAAAAAGGACGGCGTCAGACTGCACACACCTGGAGAAAGGAGCAGACCTCAGCGAACGGGGTAACGTGCAGAGCTGTGGCCCCGCGGGACCCGAGCCCCTCCCCCACCCCAGCTCACGCGCATCTCCGGGCGTCCGAGATCCCCGGACATGTAGCAGTTTGGTTCCCGTGGTAACTCAGCGCGCGGCGTCACGCTTCCGTGTCCGCGAGCTGAGAGCCTCTGTGATGTCACGGGGCCACTTCCCGGCCGGTGGCAGAGTCGGACCGAGCTTGCGGTGACTGGGGCGCCATGGAGGCCACTGGCGACGTCGAGCAGCCGCGGGGACCCGGCTGGGCTGAGCGGGACGGCCCCGAGCTGGCAGACGCGGGCGCAGCGGGGCAGCTGGCTCCCAAGAACCCGTGGAATGTAATGATAAAGCACCGGCAGGTGCAGCGAAGGGGCCATCGCCCACAGATCACCACGAGCTTCACAGACCCTTCCGTCTCCATGGACCTCCTCGGAGCTGTCTTGCAGCCTAGCATCAATAAGGACATCCAGACTGTCTTTGACAAGTACATGAAGTTCTTCCAGAAGGGAGCACTGAACGTGCGAGAAAATGTCGGGGAACATGTGGATGCAGAGGAGCTGATCCAGGAGACCTGTCGGAACTGCCTAGAACGGGCTAAAGTACTGTTTCCTAGTAGAGAAAAAGTAATGCCCACATCGATCCCTGAGCTTCCAGGAATAAAGCGTGCCAGGCAGGCAGAAGAGGAATGTGCCCATCGCAAAAGCCCCATTCCCAAAAAGAGGAAGCAACGGCCTCTTGGACACATGATCTCAAATGACCAGGCAGCTGCCAGCAAGGTACGGAAACCAAAATCCTGTGGACCAAATCCCAGAGAAGGCCCCAAGTGGGACCCAGCTCGGCTGAATGAATCTACCACCTTTGTGTTGGGATCTCAAGTCAACAAGGCCCTGGGGATGGGGGGCACCAGAGGGAGAATCTACATCAAGCACCCATACCTCTTTAAGTATGCGGCTGACCCCCAGGACAAGCACTGGCTGATTGGGCAGCATCACATGCTGGCAACAGAGGGGAAGATGGCCTGCCTCCTCGTCGAGGAGGACATCCGGGACCTCGCTGCCAGCGATGACTACAGGTAAAACAAGTGGTCTGTCTCCTACCTGCCCCCTGACCCACCCACAGCAGACCCTGGGATGATCTTGGGTCTACATTCTCCCCCATGTCTGTTCCAGAGGAAGCCCGGACCTGAAGTTAGAGGAGCTGAAGTCCTTTGTCCTACCCTCCTGGATAGTTGAGAAGATGAAAAAGCACATGGAGACACTACGTAGAGAATGAGCATTGTGCTGTTGGAGCATCTTCACAGACCTGAAGCCCACTCCCCTGGGGACACTTGGCAGTTCCCCTCCACGGCCCTCATACCCACATGGGTGGGGCCACGGCTGGGACTGCTCCTAGATGATCTCAGCAGCATTAAGCTGTGCCTGGTATAGTTTGTAGTGACTCACTGCAGGGCACCCCCAGACTGGCATGTAGTTAGACTTTGGTAAAGTTATTAGGATAAGATAGTTCATAAATAGTTTGTAATAAAAACATAGATGGTGAAAAAAAAAAGCCTAAAAATAATTTGTTGAAAGGAATAAAAGAAAACTTGAATAAGTGGAGGAAAAAAAAGTGTCTTCAATTTTACTGGAGGAGATAGGAGTAATCCGAAACAGTTATCAGTGTGCTTAGTTTATAATGCACGTGTGTGTGTGCATGTGTGTGCGTGTGTGTGTGTTTTGCGGGGGAGGAGAGGGGCTGGAGTGGATAGGTGAGGAAGTAAGGTAAGGGAGATGTGTGTCAAATGTGTGTGTGTGTGTGAGTGAGTGAGAGAAAATGCGAGCGCGTGTTTGTGGTGGTCGGGGAATTCACCTTGGAGCTGCAGTTGGCTTCCTGGTTCCTGCTAAAGAATATCACCTCTTGCAGATTCTGAACCATAAAAAGCTAGGTGCCGCCTTTCTTTACTTTGGCTTACCAAACTTACACCTTTTCCGAGGGAGGGAACTTTAGGATAGCCGGGGTGCAGGGGGAGGGAGTTGTAGGGTTACTGAGCTCAAGTGCTTCCTTGGCTCCAGCTTTCTTCCACTCTCTGGAGTCTTTTCGCTGACTTGCCCTGTGGGACTACAGAGGAAATAAGTTCACCAAGAGAGTGACAAGTAAATAGGGGTTGCTGGAGGATTGATTGGTCATTATGTAAAACAGTTTCTCAAACAGGGAAGGAGATTAATACTCTCACTTAAAACTGGCAGAAAGGTTTATACTTGCTACTGGAACTGGACTGACGTTTAACTTGTCATCTGAAAACACTACAAATTAACTATTTTAAGCCATGAAACAAAGTTTGTAGTAACAGACCTGGCAATTAATCACCTAGAATTTGTCTCTTAAAAAATGACGTATGACAGCTCCACCAGGTGGCTGCCAACAGAGAGTGAGACAGGCCGGCAGCCACCAGGAGGAGAGAGGAGCTGCTCTCGATTTTATTGGTGTGTCACTTTGATAATGTCAAAATTCAGTTTAGTGAAGGGCAAAGAAGGGAGACCACTGCAGATTTTTCTAGGAAATCTTGTCTGAAAAAAAAAAAAAAAAAAAAACACCACGAGATCACTATGACTCACTTTTGACATGTAAATACCTGAAACCCATAGACAGTTTTCTGATGGGCTAATCGTGCCACAGTCTTACGAGCGCTCGTTTTGGCTGTTATTTTTGGTTTTCTTAAAAGGGCAGAGGATACTGTAGTTCCATAGCTTAGTTTTGGCTTGTGACCACTACACACTTGAGTGTGATCTAGCTCAGATGCCAAATGTCACGGTGTGTCCTGCATCACGGTGCAGCAGGAGAAATGCTGGTGACCTTTTTTAGGTTCTAGGCTTTGCTGGTTTTAGGCTCTGCTGCTCTTAGGCAAGTGGCTTCTTTTTCCTGGCCCTCAATTTTCTCATCTATGAAATTAATGAATTGTACCGGCTGATCTCCAGAAACTTGGCCATGTGTACAAGTGTTTGAATGACTTTCGTTTTATTTTGGAAAAGAATAAACTTGTTAAACATTTGAAACCAAACCAGGAAAGCTGAAGGGGAAAAGCTAATTCAGCATACACATTTACATTTTTTAAATTAAACTCTACATTATGATATTGATGATAACTGGAATTAGACAGTCTTTACTATTCTCTCTAGTTCTAATATGGCACAGATGTGATAATAAAGCCCATATGCAGCCTCAATGAAAATATCTGATTGGACATAAAATGTTAAAAAGTCTGGTAAGTAAATTGAGCTGTCAAATTATTTTAGGCAGCACAAAGAATTATAGAAAAGAAACATCCCAACTACTAAAACACTGAAAGATGAAATTCATTTTCCAATTTATTGGTTCTTTTCTCATCTAGGTTTAGAGAAGAGAAAAAAGTTTCTTTTCATGTTAAGTAAATACCTTAATCATCTGAAATCAAAGACAGTATAAAATTGAATTCGTAAGAGCTCTGAGTAATACACTTTGGTTTGTTCTCTTGTATTGTAAACACTAATCAATAAAATGAACCACTCTTAATGGATCCCAATATGTTAAATTGTAGTTAGTAAGTATATTTTAATTGATTTTATGTTTTTCATGTTGTTTGAAGATGCTGATTTCAGTAAAGCACAGCCCAAATTTTATTCCAATTTCTAACAGTACAGCCAGTTCAGGAAACATCAGGAGCTGTGGTAATGGTGGCGTGCTGGTCCCAGTGCCTTGTGCTTTCCCCCTTACCCAGTGGATTCATTGTTTTGCTCTTTGTGCTTTCCCCCTTTAAAAAGATAATCAACTTGTTATTTTAAAAAAACTACCTGTGAATGAAGAGAGATTCCATCTGGTGGCTCCTCCTACCCTTTAAAAAAACCAGTTTATACATTTTTTGCTACTCTCCTTGGTTTAATTTGCTTTCTTCCATATGTGCTTTTATTGGCCTATTGCCATGCCACCTGCTTGAAGTTTGGAATATTAACTTTGAATGCAGCACAGACTTTGATGTAGGAGGTTTTATTCTGTGGGACATTTACATGAAAACAGAATCTTTGATTTTAATAACTTAATCTGTTTTTCCCACTTATTTCTTACCTGAACTTGTCATAATGCTGCATGAGGGACACAGCTGGTTCCTGTGGAATTGATGGATAATTAATGAAAGATTATGACTTTAGCTAGAAATTAAGCAGAAAGAACTGCTGATTTCTTAAAGAGGCAAGGTAAACTCAGATTTTCAAATATTAGCACAGACCATCTGTTAATTTAAGAGTAACAATTCTGGTTTTGGAAAAATTTGAGAGTTAATTTCAAAGTCTGCCTATGTTAAAGGTAAAGTCTTAAATTTATTTTAAATTTAGGGACTTTTTAGTAAAAAGGTTTCATTTTTAGCAGACCAAGTTTCTCCTAATAACCAACCACATGATGAAAACTTACCAGTGAAAATAATGGACATATGCACACACATGCTTCATGTACTATTATACATTATTCCTAACAATCGTTTGGACTAAATAATTTACCCATATTTTTTTGTTGAGCACAAATTGTGGCAGTGTTTCAAATATATAATCTTAGCTCTGAAATTTAAAATTTAACTTCTAGTTTTCTGTGCCCTGCTAATTGTGAGTTTGAGATATTTTTTATATCTCAGTATGCATTATAAAGGAATTTGTGGTCACTTTGCTCTATATTCATATAATATCCCATTTAAAGGTATGTTATTTTACTTCCCTGAAGTCATTTTCCACATCTGAATAAGATGGAGGTTGTAGGTTATGGGTGAGAGATGCAAGTTTGGGTTAAACAATTTCTAGTATCTTTTCCAGTTCTAAACATTATATGACATTATGGAATCAAAATGCTTTAATGGCTCCATGACCACAACTATATTTGTTCATCATTGAGTTGGTTTTTATTGTAAGAATTTCATTAGTTATACCCATTCTGCAGGGGAGTTTTTGGAAGATTTAGTTATATTCCCAATCATTTAGTTTGCTTGTCTATTACATATTTCAAATTTGCCAGAGGTGTCTTTGTCAAACAAGAATTTGAGTTGGTTTCAAAGAAGCTGAACAAGGCAGAATATGAGTGGAACTGGGGTCCTGATAAAGTGTCCATTCTTTTTCTTCATTAGTTGAGTTGAGGTGTAAGCATTTAGCCCAAAGAATATGTATAGCTCTTCTATTTTATTAATGGCTTAGCCTTACTGCATGCAATCTTCCTTTTAACTTGCGTTAAGTACAAAATAGTTACAAATTCTTGGAGATTCTTGTGATCTTCTATCTTCCATAAGTATGTAAGCAATAAAACAAATGAAGCTGTTATTCTCTCCCTACTGCTTGCTCTTTTCTGGGCATTTGGTGAGATGACTATTTCATTCTCTACTACTATCTAATGTAGTCACAATTTTTGTGTTCTTAAAAAAAGAGCCAGTGAGTTGTTATGTTATCCTTACTTGTACAATCAAATGAGCAGAGAAGAAAATACCCTAATAAATGGGAGGCCCTTTGAAATCCTTGCAGAAAGAGAAGCAAAGTACCATTTTAATCTGGTATCTTACTGAGAAAATTGACTTGAGTATATTGGTTTTACACCTTCCATGGTAATGCCATTTACCTAGATATCCTTGGGACAGAAGATCTTACTGTGGAAGTGACTGCCAATGATGCTGTGCGATTTTATCCCTGGACCATTGATAATAAGTACTATTCAGCAGACATCAATCTATGTGTGGTGCCAAACAAATTTCTCATCACGGCAGAGATTGCAGAGTCTGTCCAAGCATTTGTGGTTTACTTTGACAGCACTCAGGTATGATTGTACGTTCCAAGGACTTTGAGTAAGAAATTATTTCGTGCTTCTCTTACATCCTGCATTTTCTGTTAGTGTCTCTTTTTCTGTTTTTTCATGTTTGTTCTTCCCTCTCTAGAAGTCTGGTCTTGATAGTGTTTCCGCATGGCTCCCACTGGCAGAAGCGTGGTTACCTGAGGTGATGATCTTGGTCTGCGATAGAGTGTCTGAGAATGGTGAGGCGCTCCAGTGCCTGGTATTTGGTACATGTTTGTCCCTCCTTGGTAAACAGAACACATTTGTTTCCTTAACTTAGAACAGTACACCTCGGAGCTTTGGTACTTTACAAAACTATTTTCAGCTATTTCCCTTTGGAATCTTGTAATATTTACATTTTAACATTTTATTTTTAAAAAGTGAACACTTCGGGTTTGAGAAATCATTTTCTTTAATTACTTTATTTCGGATGCCCTTAGGATAACATGGATATTAAGGGTAATACCTTGAGATGTGTGGAACGTATTGTGGCAATAGTCATGTTTTATTTTATTTTTGCATATAAAGATTCTTTTTCATTTTACTTTAGGTGTAAGCCGGCAAAAAGCTCAAGAATGGTGTATCAAACATGGCTTTGAATTGGTAGAACTTAGTCCAGAAGAGTTGCCTGAAGAGGACGGTAAGTATTTGTGTGTCAGGAGAAAATAGCATTTGGATTCAGATATATGAGATTATTTTACTTCAGGGAAGAAATATCAAAGTGAAATTCAAAAAACATTTTTTTCCCCAGTTGTTTGAAAAGATTTGTGTAAGATCCATTGATAATTAATAATTCATTTTTTTGGTTTCATCACTCATTTTAGGACTTTTGAAATGTTTTTCTTAAATGGATAAAGGTAGAGAATTTCTACCTTAAATCTTAGTCATTTCCCCAATCTCTTATCCTTTCTTCACTACCAAAAAGGGAAGGTTTGACATATAATCATAAATAGTTAAAATTTATGTTCCTTATTTTGAATTCCTGGTAACCTAATCCTGAATTCCCAGGAACTCTAGGGGGCATGTCAGTCCTGATTGTATGTCTTTTGGACCTTTGAAACCAAATCTAGGCCTAGAATGCTCCCTCTAGGGTGGCGCTGCATTTACCTGCCTTTTACTATATTCTGGACCTTCTCTTTCTCACCCTCTCCCTGTTTTCCCCTCCTCATTCCTCTTCTCATCTTCTTCCAAGTACACCTGTGCTACCTGCTGGGGGCTCTGCCAAGATAAGATGGGTTTTGGCTTACTAAAACCTTATAATCTGGTACAAGAAATAAAACATGTATACAAATAATTGAATTACCAAATGGCATTTCATAAATATTACGACAATACATGTTAGTGCTGTGGTATATCAGAGAAGGGAGAGATTATTTGTTAAGAAGTTCAAAGAGTGCATGGCACTGTGAACTCTCACATGTCAACTGCTCCAGGGGGAAGAAATGGAAAAGCTACTGGACTTGTAATTAGAGGACTGGCAGGGGGTGGCATTGAGAAGATGCCAGTTACTACAAAAGCCATTCTGAATAGGGGCACCCATATGAATTAAAGTACATAGATAGGATATAAGTAATCATTACTTGAAATCTAAATTCTTTTTTTAAAAAAAGGAATTAGGAAATATTTTCCTACGTTCTGGCTTATATAGAGTTTTTCCAAAATGTTGTTACATTTGGGAATAAAACCCTGCCAGAGAAAAAGAGGACAAAAATGAAATAAAAGGTCTATTTTTTCTCCCTGTACTTTTTAAAGAATATTAAAAATTAACAAGTATAGTTTCTTCATGTGTTTCTAGGTCTCTTAAAACTTGTGTCTCATTTTGTGTATGTGAGCATGTGTGTAATTGTTTATTTCTAGCACTAGAATTTTCTCATCTTCCTGTTCTGAGAGTCAGCATTTGAGTCATTTATTTAAATCTATTTTCATTTTGGAACGTCTGCTCATTATCCCTCCATACTTCTCCTTGTTCCTTGTCTGAACAATGTTCTTGTATTAATTCATCTTAATCTTAAAATGGATTTTTGACAAATCATCTTTAGGTAACATAAGTAAAATCTTCCAGAATTTTAAAATAAAACTGTTCCCAAGCCCTCATCCTTTATTTGCATGTATTATTCAAACACCAGGGTGATACTTATGCTTGTTTATATTAAATTCTATCATATTGGTTCTAATTCTTTATTTCAGACCACATTTTTGGTTCCTGGTTATATCATCTAAAGTGTTAGTTATTCTTTCAAGAATCGAATCATTCATAGTTGAGATAAGCATGACTTGTATTTCTTCATTTGAACATTGAGGGTGATATACTCATCTTTGTATTTTCAGTTTAATCCTCACCATATTTCTCTTAGGTTGGTAGGTTGGTATTCCTTAATTGATTGATCTAGTGCATCAGTGACTGAGCGCCTGCTGTCTTTCAGGCACCATGTTAGCTGTGGGAATAATAAACTCAGTCTCACATGATTCCTGCCTTTAAGGAGTATCCAGTCCAGAGGGGAAGGATAGACCAGTGAATCATTAATCCCAGAGCCTCTTTCCCAGGAGAGATGTGCACGCTGGTATCATCCTCACTTCAAGAATAACATAATTGGTTTGCCCTTGATCAAATAGCTAATAAGTTACGGAGCCTAGGTTCAAATTCAGATTTTCTGACTTCTGATTTTCACTCTTCCTGTTAAACTGTCCAGGGCCAGGGCAGACCACTAGAGAGATGTTTTATGTTAAACCGTGCTCTGTAAATTCTTAAGACCTTTGTTTTCAACCCCATGAAGACTAATTCTGCCATCATTTCCATAAGGAGGTATAAACAGTCTCCCTTTCCTTGGCACACGCTCGTATCTACAGTGTAGCTAAGAATCCCACCTTATTATTGGCATGCTAACTGGGATTACCGTCCTCTTATTTTGAGTAGTTCCAGAAGCAGGACACTACCCATACCAAACTAAACTAAGCTGTTGGCTTTTCATTTTTAGTGATGCTTTCCTGTCTCGTACACTTACGGCTATAGTAACTTCACTTATCACACTTGAACTCTCGAGAAGTTATTCTCTAGATGTCTGTTATAAACAATGATTATTATTCTATGGTTCCAGGAGAAGATAGGGCGTTTACAGGATTTTATAGCACACTAAAAGGACCATCATTCTTGTCTTTAGGAAACTGATTCTCTCTATATATATAACAACCAAGATTGGTATTTCCAGTACTATAACAGGATTGTGTAATTAATGGAAACTAACATTTTCAGGAGAATGACTGGCTTCCATTGGTGAGGTAATAGGGATGACTTTCTTATATAACCTTTTATATTGTGTGTTTATTTCATTGTTTAAGTTTCTAGAATACTCTTAA